GTACCCTGCGTTGTACCTCGTCAATCTCAAGTTGTGACAGCAATTGCCGGTTGTGGATGTTGGAACACTGAGCTACTAGTTGTTTCGAAGTAACCATTCAGCCCGCATTCTCTGCATGTAACCCCTCTGACTAGGGTTGCTTGAGTAGTAGCATTCCAGCAGAGCAATGTTATCGCATCTCGCCCATCTCCGCTTTGTTCCAGTAGCCCATTTTTCATCAAGGTGCTCTGGTTCCCCAGCACCTGACGCAGACCTTGTTTGGCCGGGCGACGTCTGAGCCGGCATGTCATTCATTTTATTGTCTCTCATCATTGTATGAGGTAGGCATTAGCGTGAAGGATCTTGCCCAAGGACCCACACTGGATGGTGTTATGTGCTCATTTACGATTCGAACCACCATCTCCCGTGCGCCAAACCGATGCCTTACCAACTGAGCTATCCAGCCGCTGCTCAGTTGGTATGGTTGGTGTGTGTGTGTGTGTGTGTGTGTGTGTGTGTGTGTGTGTGTGTGTGTGTGTGTGTGTAAAATGAAGCTCCTCCCCTTATTTTATCATAGTTCGTTGGCACCACAAATCAACAAGATTTTGATCATCATTTTATATTCGAGAGAGACTCAGTGTACAAACAGCAAATAGATGAGTTTTTGGAAAATATAAAAGTTCATCATGCTACAGCGATATCATATCATGAAAGTAGAACATTTAAGTAGAAGGATGCACTTGTGATTTTCTCATTTCAAACAATTAATTGAAACAAAAGTTAACAATGATGGGTACACCACAACAAAAATGTCAACGTCTAAATAAACCCGTCATGTGCCCTTGAGCATCAATTACAGCTTGACGACGATGATGTCTCATGCTGATCACAAGTCGACTTATTGTCTTCTGAGGCATGGCATCCCACTCTTCTTGAAAGGCAGCCCTCGAGTCATTGAGGTTCTGGGGTGCAGAGTTTTGAGCCTCTACACGGCGACTCAGCTGCTCCCAAAGATTTTCAATAAGATTCAGGCCTGGAGAAAATGCACGCCATTCCATGTCAAGTACACCAGTCTCCCAACAGCCGTTCCCTGATGATGTGATCTCAATGAGCTGGAGCATTGTCGTCCATGAAGATGAAATTAGGCCTGTGTTGTTCTTGTAGGGGCACAATCACTGCAGTAATCATGTTATTCGGGTAGTAAGGCAGTTCTGTACCGACTGGAGACACTTGCTCACACTGTAACACCGCCACCACCAAATACTCATCTGGTGACAGCAGTGGCTGATGCATCGCGCTCTCCTTGATGTCTTTCAATAAACAAGTACCTTCTCCTCTTCCGGGACAGGAGGTAAAGTTGATGTTTCCTGCAGCTCAACGCATGAACAGGGGAAACCATGAGATTGCGACACTGGTGCGGGCCTGCAAAGCCAACAACGTGACTGACCTTGTCATCATTCATGAAACCAGAGGACAGCCAGGTTGGTTTATTAATTCTTCAAAGTTCAATGTCACAGATGTTGTAGAAAAGTCTAAGGATCGGTTTCCCAAAAGATATATTTAAAATCCAAATTTTAAAGTCCACGTTTTCCCCTTCGACATAATACCCCTAGAGTTTTACTAGGGGTGGGCGATGTATATATCGTCATCGATATTGTCGCCTATCTTTCTTTCATGATCTGTCATTTTACGGTATTGTAGTCAGGCTGCCTTGAAAAGACCTAATGGCTGCAAAGTAGGAGGAAGCGATTAAAATCCTCCTTTGGCAAATCAGCGTGCCTAGATGGGAGGAGGAAGTGATAAGTCTTCATTCTGCGAATCAGCGGGCAGGATTCAGTCACGCGACTCTGTGGGGACCAGCCAAGCGAGCGTAAGACACCGTTGTTTCCAAATGCGGGAATGGAGAAATGGATGAGTCTCTTGTCTCAGCCAGCATTTTAATAGCAAGACCGAAGTCCATGTCCCTTAGTCTGGAAATGATTTGGGTTTGGCAAGACTGATGTCCTTCAGAATAATGCCAAAATGGTCGCCATGAAGCGCAATTCACTAACAAATCTGTTCCATCACGACTTATATGAATTGCAAGCAGGACTCCACAAGCACGACGACCGCGAAAGAAATAAGTCATGCTCAGCAGCACACTTAGAAAGCCCCCGCTGAGATTTTACTTCATGAGAGTGGCTTAAACGTGACAGGATGTTCGATATTCTCATACATGTGCCGCATCATAGCTACATTTGCGGCCATAACACCTGTAGTATGTGCAGGACAATTTCGGAAATGGTCGAAAGATTGCGGCTGAATTCCTTGTTGCTACAAATATATCTATGATATCAGCACTCACCACATCAAATAAAGATCTATTTTTTTCATTCTGACTGTTGTAGTGAACAGCTTTTCTCATTCTGATTGCTGTAGTAGTTGACAGTGGTAGACCGGAAGCTCAAAATATCATGATTTCGGTCATTATTGAGTAGTAGCAGACATTATGGGCATAAATATTCATAAAACTCAAACATATTTAGTCTGGGCATAATTTGAAGTTCTAAATTGTTAAATATCGTCGTACAGTATCATTGTACAATGTTTTTCAGAAGATCAATGAGGCAATTTAAAAAAGAAACGAGCCCTTGTTCAGAGCCATACTTATTCTGTGAGGCAAGTGCAGATAGACGGTGTGTGTGTGTGTGTGTGTGTGTGTGTGTGTGTGTGTGTGTGTGTGTGTGTGTTTATCTAATTCTTATAATTTTTTTGGGAAAAAATTTCAAGTTATCATTCACCACCAAGTCCACCTGTCCAAGTCTTCTCTGCCGTTCTTTTATTCACTCTTAGAAGAATCTTCCGCACTCCTCTGCAGCACAGTCATCTCAGCCATCTTGATGTCATCCACATTTTCAAAATGGGGTCCCCTTGATGACCGCACTTGAGCTTGGAAAGGGGAAAACAAAAATAACACAAAGCCACGTTGGGAGGGTATTCTTGCACGGCGATGTTCTTCTCGGTTACCAACTGTTGGATGCTCACGGCATTGTGAGCAGGCATGTTGTCAAGGTGAAGCAGCCACTAGTTGTCCTGCCACAATTCTCACCTCTTCCTGTCCACTGAACATAGCAAACAGCAGAATCTCGCTGCATACTTGCTGGTTAATCGACTCGTCCGCATAAAAGGGGACAACTTGTAGTTGGGGAAAAATGTGTTATGTGGCGCCAGTTCTGGAGCTCTTCTGACACACCTTGTACAGTGTTCCACCACTTTGTCAGGAATTCACATGGTTGATGATTTTTTGGGGGAGGAGCCTATTGTCCATTGTGAGCTGAATAAAAAACCTCGGCTGGTTTCGTGCTATTTCTGAAGTACCTTAGAATACCACAAGCTGGTGACAAAGACACGTTGGATCGAACAGTCCTTTTATTACTGTTTCTGTTGTTGCATTTACAGGCAATTAATGTATACATTGAACCGAAAAACCCAACAACCTTCATCATAGTCAGAATCCCCACATCACTCCTAAAATATTCGGAAGTCTGTTTTTTTAATTAATTAAATTGTTTTTCAAATTGAAACAATTTTAGAGCAGGACTGCCCAGCCAGTCGACTGCGGACTGCTTCCAAGTCAACCGTGAGGATGTAGGTGGAGCTTTTTGTTGTTATTATTATATTTTGTCAGTGTAGCAAAAAACAGACAAAATTAGCAGAATTATTTCTCACATTTGCTTATGATATGGAGCGCAGCAATGTAAGGGTCAATGGCTACCTACAGCCCGAGGGCCATTTGCTTTCCATTTTTCAGCGGCCCACGACATGACAAAAAATTATATACAATACTAACAATGACATTTGACATGGACCACAAGGTTAGTTAAAAAAAGTGAAGGTGGGTAGAGTGAGAAGGGAGGGTGTATTGTGGACCTTTTCGCTATGTTCAAAGACACAAAAACCATTCATGATTGAAAGTATAACACAGTTTATCTTCAAAACACTGTAGTGAAAAAAGATAATTCAATTTTAGGGGCAAAAATTGTTTCTTCCACTTTGTTCTCTATGGCTGATTTATGAAGACATCACATTAATGCTCCTCAAGTAACTGAAAAATGGTCATCTGAGTAGTTTTTTTTTTTCCTTTTTCTTTTGGCTGCTGTTAAGTGCAGGGCTGGGTCTATTCTGTGTGAGAGAAGGCTGTTGCCCCCACCCCTGAAAGCAATTTTCCTTAACGCCTTTAACAGAAAGCTGATGAGATGAACTAGACAATACATAAAACAGCTTTCTTGACTAACATGTGTTTCAAAAAGGTGACGAAATTTCAAGTGGCCCTCAAACGAAAAAGTTTGGACACACCATCTCTAAACATCGTCAAAGTGGCCCATTGATGCATTGCAGAAGCAGTTAGATAGCCAAATACTGATCCAGATTGACTTGGATGATAGGTGCAGCTGTTGTGACACAGAGTTTTATCCAAGTGAATGACCCATCAATTGGCATTCTGTTCAAACTCAATGTCTCTTCCATTGCTACCTGCAGTGCAATATGGCTATTTTATTCGTCATGTGACAGCATATCACTTTTTTTACACAGCTACTTCCAGTGATGTCACTTTACAATAAGAGAGCATCCGGAAGTTTATACATGCCAGCAGCGTGAGCTCTCTATAAGTGCCCCATCAAAAAGGCTTTTCAGTGGATGGTTTACAATGTGACAAGCCATGCAATCAATATAAAGCCTCATGCGGTTGCCATGTCTTATTTTACTTGTCAAACAATGTCATTAATTCAAACGAGGCAACCCACCTGGCATTGTGTACCAGGTGTGCTAATACTCCGAGCAAGATTTTGTCACCATTTTCAGGGAAAAAGCGTAATTTTATTTGGAAGCAGTACCTTTAATTCATATTATGTTTGGTGATCGCTTAGTTGTTAAAAAATATTCCCTGTGGGATTATTATCTATGTTGCATTGTTGATTCTTATTGAAAGGGGAAAGTAATGCATCAAAATCGGAAATTGTGTTTTTGGGGTGGGGGAAATCTGAGATTTTATTTTAAGGCCATATCACCTAATCCAGGGGAGCCCAATTTTTTTTGACCCAAGATCTACTTTTCAAGCAGCCAACCTTCCGCAATCGGCCTGTTAACGCACGTGCATGCATACACCACACACACACACACACACACACACACACACACACACACACACACACACACACACACACACACACACACACACACACCATCCTGCCGTCCCTCTTGACCCCAAGATACTTCAACTCCTCCACTTGGGTAACATCTCATCCCCGACCAGGAGAGGGCACTCTACCGTTTTCCGACTGAGGAACATAGTCACAGCTTTAGAGGTGCTGATTTTCATCCAAAACGCTTCACACTCGCCTGCAAACCCCTCCAGAGATCCCGGCTTGAAGAAGTCAACAGCACCACATCATCTGCATAAAGCAGAGATTCAATACTGAGGCCACCAAACCGGACCCCCTCGACGCCTCGGCTGCGCCTAGAAATTCTGTCCATAAAGGTTATGAACAGAATCGGTGACAAAGGGCAGCCTTGGCGGAGTCCAACCCTCACTGGAAACGAATCAGACTTCCTGCTGACAATGCGAACCAAAATCTGACATTGGTGGTACAGCCCGTATAATGGGGTTTGGTGTTCCCATACTCCCAAACCAGTGGTCACTTTTTCCCCACTGAATGTCACGTGCCAGAGGAGACAAATCCTGATATAGTAATGAGTCTGAATTGTTTTGTGAGTTCACTGTCATGGCGAAAGAAGGCAGGATGTTCTGTTTGGATGAGTTACTAAATATTATTGGGAATATAGTGAATAAATAAGAGGATTGTGAATATTTACTGTGCAAGTCAAGTTGAGGGTGACTGAGTGAAGAAAAGTCAGCCTGGAGCCCTGATACTTCTCTTTGCAAAATAAGGCTTGGAATAAAACTTTTGTCAATATAAACCGGGTGTGAATGAAAGTACAGGCTTAGATTGTTTGTTCATCCATATTTGCAGATGGCCTCGTGGTGTGCCACCTGCCATTTGGACCCACAGCTTATTTCACGCTTTATAATGTGGTAATGAGGCACGATGTCCCAGACATAGGCACCATGTCTGAGGCCTACCCCCATCTCATCTTTCACAACTTCACCTCACGGCTTGGCAAGCGGGTGAGTACTCAACCATGCTCTGCTCACATGCCACTGATAGCATCTCTCATCATTTGTCTGTCAGCTCACCTAATTATTCCTTCATGCACAGGTATCCAATATCCTCAAGTATCTTTTTCCAGTGCCCAAAGAGGACAGTAGGCGTGTAATCACATTTGCCAACCAAGAGGACTTCATCTCTTTCAGGTAAGTGTAAATGTGGCATCTCATTTTAAAGACCACATGGAATTGTGTTCGATAAGAAGGTAGATCAGTAAATGTGTAAATCATATGCACTGTACATTTCACACGCACCCCTTTTTTTCTTTTTTATTTTTTTAAACAGACATCACACCTACAAAAAAACAGACCACAAGAACATAGAACTGACAGAAGTGGGGCCCAGATTTGAAATGAAATGTAAGTATAACCCGAGAACTCTGGGAAGAAACGCTAAACTGGGACTGGTAACCACAGTGCTTTCACTATGGGACGTGTAATGTATTCGCGTAAAAAGAAAAAAGGGCTCAGTGTCAGTACTGGTACAATAACTAATTGCAACAGACATGAAACGTATCCATGTTGGATGGCATCCCAATGAACCACTGTTGAACATGCAAATAGCATCCATGACACGACTCATATGAACACCACCTACATGCAGAACAAACCACATTTTAAAAACAGTGGAAACTCGGATGGGAATTGATAAGAATTTATCGATTCCAATTCCATTATTATAACTGCTTATCCTTCCGATTTCTTATGGATTCTCATGGGGTTGAAGGAATGCAATAATAAGAATAGGTTTGTTTTTGGGTTGAATTTTTAAAAAATGATTTATATTTGACCTTTCTTTATCCAGGTCGACTGAAAATGGCATCACAGTTGCTCAGGCTCAGGTCGCAACCAATCAGCTTCAGAAAACAAATGAGACATGATTGGTCGTGAGTGAGCCCGAAGCTACTGTGATGTCATTTTCAGTTGACAGCACGTGGCAAAATGGCCGCTGCCTGAGATGGCGAAAAACAAGGGGCTTTTGCTGCTTAACTCGTATTCCACAAACGCAACATTAATCAGAATGCCGTGTTTAGACTAATGGCGGCGCTTTGAGCATATTACTGTAAAGAAAATTTGGGGGTTGACTTCTCCTTTAACATTTGATTTAGCTGCCTTGTTAAGAGTAAAGTGTTTCGTCTCATGTTATGTACACGTTGCTATTAGTCCTTTTTGTCATTTTGTCCATTGTAACTGTTCTCATACTTGTTCAAATGAACACTGAATGTGATCTTGTAAGCGTATTCGGTTCTAATTTAGATTTTCCGTCAAATACAATATGAATATAAAAGTTGGAGGGAATGGTAAGCTATTTTAGGTTGGTGCACAAAGGCTATGTTCACACTGCAGCTCAATTCCATTTTTTTTTATCTGTGAATCAACTGAGTTGTTTTAAGGAACAGTGTTGTCTTTATTTTTGACTTTAATCCCACTATAAACATGAAGCATAAAGTGGACAGGTGTGGTGATAATAATAGTTAAATCACGCAGACAATTAATTTCTTACGTGCGGCAATGATGTGACATCATGCTTCGTAGACGTGCCTATAAAATGAGTAATCTTTTTTACATTCACATATGAAAGTGTTCTCTGACGTTAAATCCTGTTTTCTTTTCATAGTATATATGATCAAGCTGGGCACCCTGGAAAATGAGGACACAGCAGATGTTGAGTGGCGACACCACGCATATACACACACGTCCAAGAAAAGAAGATTTCTGAGTGTTCAATAGGTTCATAAATCTTGACTATAATCGAACTTTTGGACTTGTGTATAGAATGATTGGATTTTTTTTTTGTCAGATGTTTCATTGGTGAGCTACCATAAAAGCAATATAGTTTTCATATGTCCACTGTAGATGTCAGTATTTGTCAAGCGATGATATCGGTGTGGACGCACATCTCTGTTGCACATATAATTCGGTAAATGTGTTTTTTTTTTTTAAATAAAATGCCTCGTCTTGTTTGTATTTGCTTCTTTCTTAAATCCTCACTAACAGTTATCAAAATATAGCTGAAAAGAGGGACAACATAGGTCAGGAGCATCCCAATGTGACGCAGTAGGTCCAAAATATACAGTATGCACTGTCGGTAACGTTTTACATATTTCCCCGTGTGGGTGACAGCGTCGCCTTTTGCGTCGCTGTCGTTTTGAAAACGGACAGATTGCCGTTTGACGCTCACTGTAGTAGAGTTCATTTACATGACAGAGAAGTTAGTTAACGCCCATCTCCGCTGTGTCCAATGAAAGGACGCAGCTCCAGCATGTGGCCAATGAGAAACCAGCCTTTCCGAGGTTTTCCGCTTTCCCTGAACTTCTTGACAGATTCGACTTTAGATTGAGAGTTCAAGATGGCCGCCTCAGGTAAGAGTTTTAATTTATATCTAGACTTGAAAATAAATCTTTGGCAAAGTGAGAACGATCTGATAGCACTCGAAATAGACGCAACACGGAACAAGTATGTGCTATGTTTTGGATGACGACGGAACAAGTCACCGCAGACTAAGCGGAGAAAGCAACAGCAACAACTCAGGAGCCGACGCAGTGGTAAAACCCCCGAAGTTCGCAGACGTTTTAGACTGGGCTGGCAACGAATAGCTGAAAAGTACTCAAGCCATTTTGTAGCTACATAATCTCTTCCACTACGGCCACGGCTTAGCCGAGGAACAACTGCGTTTCGAGCCGAGTTCACACTTGGATCTGCTCGAATGACATCGACCGTATGCTGTTAGTTGCCATTGCCCGCTGAACTATTTGGCAAGGCAGTTTAAAGTCGCCAAAGTGGCCCAGTCAAGAGAAACATGGCTTCCGACAACTCCATATGTCAGAGACAAACAGACAGTAGACAAATCCCACGCTAAGCTAAGTGGCTAACATTACATAGCGTTAGCATCACTCATCTGTGACTTCTAAGTTTGCAGATTCGGCGTTTCGCGAGTAATGGCTTGTATCAACTGTTATTCCCACCATTCAAAGTACAGCCCATTGGAGAAAGGCAAGCGTTCGTACCCTGCTACCCCCCACGTTTACATCGTTGGTCATAACGATTTGGCATTCTTTTGCTTCTCTGAAATTGTCATGTTCAACAACACATTTTTTTTTTGCTTCGTTGCTCTTTTCAACACGAATACGTATTGCCTAGCCCCACAACTAAACCTGTTCATTTTGTTGCAGGTTGCAAGTAAACAGTTTACTCTTTTGGATCCACTGCCCCATGACTTTCACCTGAGGTATTGGTGTCAAGTATAGAATCCCCCTCCTGATCCTCTCGTCATGTCCTCCACCTCCTCCTACTCCTCCTCAGGAGAAACTAGTCCAGAGGATCCACCCCGAGGTGGGGGCACTATCCGAGTCTACCTCCCCAACAAGCAAAGGACTGTGGTGAGACAAGCAGCTCGATGATGCTCTTTATCATGCGCTCTCAGTTTTGTGCATCTGTAAAAAATAAAAATAAAATTATGCTGCAACTAGATGGATTAGTGATGGTTCACTGCGAAAGAACTGGCTGGTTTTAAGTGTAATTACTCGCACAAAATTTGACATATTTGTCACTTTGTCAACGAGTGTGAAGATTAGCATTTGGTCTGGCAGATGGTGCTTTTCATCATCCTGCCCTCTTCTGATTTATGATTCAAATTCGATGTATTCCACCTTGTCACATTTGTTCATATTATGAAGTATAATACATTCGACATACATCTTGATTATATTGTGGTGAGCATGTTTGCCTCACAGCCAAGAGGTCGTGGGCTTGAATCTAGGCACATGTCCTCCTATGTGGAGTTTTCATGTTCTGCCCACACTTGAGTGGGTTTTCTCTGGGTACTGTACTCGGGCTACCATTCACATTCCAAAAACCTGCATATTTTATTAGTTAAAGACTGCCAGTTGTTTTGTGTGTGTGTGTGTGTGTGTGTGTGTGTGTGTGAGAGAGAGAGAGACAACGAGAGAGAGAGAGAGAACGAGAGAGAACGAGAGAGAACATGTGGTCTGGTAATTGGTTGGGGGAATTGATATATTTTATATGGCCTCAATTTCTAAAAGGTGTTTCAAGATAAGCTGTTTCAATATAAAACTGACATTTTCACTTAAAACATTAAAATTAAAATACATTGCCTTTGAATGTGACATTGTCAATGTTATTGAAGAGCGGTCTCCGTTTCACAGGTGAATGTTCGCCAAGGACAGACGGTGTATGAGAGTCTAGATAAAGCACTTAAAGTGAGAGGCTTAAGCCAAGACTGCTGTGCTGTATTCCGCCTTCTCGAAGGGTAAGCTTGCATCATGTTGCGCTAAGGTTTGACATACATATGCAAAACGGGCTACAAAATGTTGGTTTGAAATGCAGTCCCCTCCAAAAGTATTGTAACGGTATAGTCAGTTCCGTTATTTTTGTTGTGTACTCAAGACATCTGGGTTTCAGATCAAAAGATGAATTTCAGACAAATGTTCAGAAGTCTAGCTTTTATATTGTCATCCATCCATAGACAGCTCTCTAGTTTTTTTTGGCCTAATTTTCACTGTTGAAACCCAAACCTAAAAACAAGCACGAACGTTGAAGTAATTACGCTAAAAGGCAACATTCAAATAACTACAAATACCCAACAGTCACGTGTTCCAATACAGTACTTTTGTTCACTTGAAAAGTGAGTGGGTGTTTTTTTTTTTTTTTAATGCATCTAGATGTAACTACCATCAAATAAAAGCTGCACTTATGAACTTCTCATATATTCGTCTTTTGATCTGAAATCCAAATGTCTTCAGTATACAACAAAAAACAACAAACAAAGGAATTGACCTTGCCGTTCCAGTACTTGTGGAAGGGACTGTAAGTATCCAAATAGCACAAGATGTCTTTGTTGCAATAACAAGCCAATGTGGCTTCATTAATGTGATAGAATTTTATTTTATGATAAGATACTGTTCCCATTTAAAAAGAATGCATCCTGGTTAGAGGCGGGTAACGAGTCAGATTTCCAAAATCGATTTGATTCACAGGAGCCCGATTCAATTTGATTCCCGATTCATTTTATTTGATTTTTCGATTCAGTTAAGGATTTCACGCAGTACCAATTTTACTTTATTATGGAAGACGTTCTCAGAAGAAGCAATGCTGCAAATAATAGAAACTTCTTGCTCTAACTTGGTGCATTTGTAAAAAATTGTATTTACATTAAGAATTCAACCCAATGCAGTTACGTTAATCGTGTATGTTTTATTGAACATTAGCTGATCAAACCATCCATCCATCCATTTTCCGATCAGCTTTATCCTCACAAGGGTCGTGGGGGTTGCTGGAGCCTATCCCAGCTGTCTTCGGACAGTAGGTGGGGGACACCCTGAACTGGTTGCTGGCCAGTCACAGGGCACATCATAGACAAACAACCATTCGGCTTACAATCACACCTCGGGACAATTTAGAGTGTTCCATTAACCTGCCGTGCGTGTTTTTGGAATATGGGAGGAAAGCGGAGTACCCGGAGAAAACCCACACAGGCATGGGGAGAACATGAAAACTACACACAGGAAGGCCGGAGCCAGGGTCGAACCCCGCCTCTTACAGTGTGAGGCGTACCTGCTCAACATTCGCCCACCGGGCCACCCCCTAATCAAAAAAACGAATAATTCAAATTCCAACCACTGGGCAGGCTGTGTAAATAAAGTGGCAAAAAAAAAAAAAAAAAAACTTTGTAAACTCACGATATTGTCAATCTCACAAAGTTTCAGTTGATTGCTGTCTTTGTGTTTTTTAAAACCCCCATACTCCCAGACAGCTGTTCAGAAGTCTAGCTTTTATTTCATGATATTGTATTATACAGATCAACTTGTTTGATTTCAGTGCTTCAGTGTTGTTTTGATATGCTACTCTAAATCATATGAATTTATGGAAGAAGATGCATAGAATGGATTATTTATGGTTTCATGAATCGCTATTGGGCTATCAAAAGAAAAAAAAATGATTTAATTGTTTTTTTTTTTTTTTTAACCTTGCCCTAATCCTGGTTGAGCAGATCACAGATGGGCAGCACTGAAAGAGCAATAATGTAAATCTGTTCTCCGAGTTGAAAAACTGTTAAGTGGATTTCAATCCACCTATCACCCCCCCCCCCCCCCCCCCCCCCCCCCCCACACACACAAGTCTTCAAGAATTGCTCAAATGAATCTGAATTGAAACACGAGAAATTAGGAAAAAGGTCTAAAATTTGCCCCAAAAAGTTTTCCGCTTAGAGCAGGGGTGCCCATTACGCTGATCGCGATGGACCGGTAGCTTGCGGACTGGTCCCAAGTTGATCGCGAGGGCTGTAGAGGGAAAAAAACAAATAAACAAACAATCATTTGTGTGTCTTTGTGCATGTTAGTAATATATTTTTTGTGTTAATGTACACTGCACCCTAACCATCCTATCAGTCTCATTTTTGCATAAAGTATTAAAAAATAATAATAAAGCAGGTAAATCTTTAACACTACGTTGTTGCGTGACCTGCGTCACCAGAAGTTGTGAGCGCTCAGCAGTCTGCAATTGCAGCTTGTGATTGCAGCTGTTGCGCTATATCTTTTATCGTTATCACTATTGTCATTCAGAGTTTGTTTCGCGTACGATTCACCGGGGGCACGGGCAAAGAATAGGAATCTGGAGGGCCGGGGGAAGCATTTTCAAACAGTACACGTGAGCTACGATAGTTAACAGGCTGTCAAAATGCCTCGCACGCCTCCACCTCAGGCTGTTCCTCATCATGGCATGCGTGTGTATGTGCGTACGTGTGCACAGTAACGGGTCGATCGTGGGAGGTTGGTTGATCAAAAAGTAGATCCTCGGTCAAAAAAGTTTGGGCACCCCTGGCTTAGAGGGTGTGGATTTTTTTGCGCATCGCTAAAAAGAAAATGCAATTTTTTGCTATGGAACCAGCTTTTGACACCACATAACATGTTTTGACTGGATATTGCATCACACGTGCACATTGTACAGAGATGAAAGTCCTCCGGATTTTCCCGGAATTCTGGGTTTTTCACATTTTTATGAAAATCTCTCCGGAGAATTGAGGAAAATTTGCCTAAAATTAATCCGGATATTAGTTGACAACATTGAACGAAGACGCGTTTGAGTTCGTTGTTTTGCTTTTGGTTGAAATCAAAAGACGCGCTTGCGTACATGTTCGCGCTGACGCACGCACAGTAGAGAGCTGCGGACTAGCTCGAGTGGCGTCGCCACAACAGTAGTCCCCTCGCCTCGCATTCTCATGGCCTCGCCATGTCTCGGAGATTTCGAAATTTCGGCGAGAATGGAAGCCACAAAGGGTGCATGAGCCCGATCACTTAACTTGATTTGTAAGCCCGAGCCCGAAGCAAACCCGAGATTTCATATTTTATTTGTGAGTACTCGGGAGGAGGGGTGATTTCTGTTAACAAAGCCTGTCTTTTGGAACGAAATCTAAGTTCAACAAGACTGGATAAACATTTACATCTTTTGTATTTCTGTTCCTGAAGAGGTTACATTAGCGGAAAATTTTACATCATTGACGGATTTTTTTTAAGAGTGGACGGGGAAAATTTAAGGCCGTCCGTCATTTTGACGGGTTGAAAATTGAGCCACAGCAGCAGTACGTCCTTAAGAATCGAGTGCGGCACTTGAAGAGAGAGAAGCAGTGAGACCAAAAAGAACAATGACGGCTGGATCATAAAGATATGAAGGAGTTTTTTGAACTGTCATTGTGAGACTTTAGTACAGTATGTGTTGTGATGACGCCGCTTCTGTTTTTTGCGAACCACGGTCTCTCGTGGCCAAAACTATTCACGGCCTCGGAAAAAAAAAAGTCAGCGAGAGAGGACAGGTGAGAAGCATCCACGACAAGCTGGAGGAGGAGAGCAATAACTATTAGATTATTTTTTCCGGAATTTTCAGGAAAGTCCACTTTCATCTCTGATTGTAGTCGCGACAAATGGCGGCCAATGATAAAGAAAGCTCGATCAGCAATCTGTCCATGATCAATGTTGTTGAGAGTCAACCGAGTTTCTTATGGCAGAAAGTGATGGTCCAACATGGTGTCGTCTCTCATGGCGCAATCTCCTCTCTTCTCAATATTCGCAAAATAATGACAAATGGAAGCGGCCAAAAGTTGCATGTTTGTTTTTGCACATTATCACGAAATTCGCTTAAATTTGAAACATTTGTATGGAAAACCCATTATTGTGCACCGTTTGTGTGCTGCTTTCAGTTTGATGATTGCTGTGCTATACTCCATTTCCCAAATGTTGGGAATCTTTGCTTCTAAGGATGTCTGTTTTTATTGATTGTACTGATTTGTAAAAACAATACATAGTCGCAGGTTTTGCTTCAGTGATATGAGGGAATTTGAACTTTAAGGCATTAAGATCAATTTATAGACAAATATAATTTAATGACTGCAGGAATGAGTACATATTTTGGCATACACCACAGATTGTAGTGGAGTCAGCAGTCCTTCAGTGTGGCTCAGTACCCAAGAATGTGGTCACATGCAGCCCGGACCACCTCTGTACTGGATGCATTCAACCTATATTACGGTTTACTTTTGGTTAGCTCACTCAGGAATAACAAACTAATACTATGCCAATAGATTTTATGACCTGCGACGGGTGGCCTTACAAGGGCTCTTGGTTCAGTGTAGTACTGTATGTGGAAAAGAAATACTGTTACACGCTTTTTGTTGTTGTTATGCTCAGTTAAGGTGTGTGTGTGCGTGTGCGTGTGTGTGTGTGTGTGTGTGCGCGTGTGCGCACGCGCGCGCGCGCGCGCACACGCTGATGATTTCTGTTAATTGCATATTTATCACACACAAAGATTCATCAGACCAATTTTAATATCACACAGCAAACAACCCAAGGAAATACAAAATGCAATTTCTAAATGCGAATATACCATATTTTCCGCACGAAAAGACACACTGGATTATGAGGCGCACCTTCAATGAATGGCTATTTTGTAAATTTTTTTCATACATTGGACGCTTCACATTATAAGGTGCAATCTACAATGCCTCCACTAGATGGTGCTACGCTCCTTCCATTCAACTCGAGAGGCGTCCTTCAACTTGAGAGGCGTTCATGACCGCCTCTGAAAAAACGTAAATTAACTATTACTGTACTTAAATGAAACTACGAAAATTGAAAATAATGAATGCATCAAAACAGAAAATCAAGCGAGGAAATCACAAAATAAATTCTATATCCCCCCTACAGAATTTATTTTGTGATTTCCTCGCTTGATTTTCTTCGTGGTTTCATTGAAGTAATAATTAATTCACGTTTTTCGGAGGCGGCCATGAACGCCTCTCGAGTGGAACGAAAGAGAAGGCACAGAGACGAAAGAGAAGGCACAGAGACGGATGGACAAAGACATACAGTACCTGTATTTGTTGAGACTGTGAAAACCATTAATAAAGTCTGCGTTTAAAAAAAAAAAAATAAAACCACAGCTCTCCTTTTTTCAACAAATACAGGTGCATCTTTGTCCGTCTCCGTGCTTTCTTCCGGTCAACTCGATAGCCGTTCATTACCGCCTCCGAAAAACGCATTGGCATTTCCTTGATCGTAGCTGCAACAGTACGATCAGATGTCAGTCGTAGTTATTTATTCCTTTGTTGTGTATTATTCACAAATGATGAAATCACAATATAAATTCTGTAGGGGGGGCTATAGAATTTATTTTGTGATATCCTCGCTTGCTTTTCAGTTTTGATGTATTTTCAATTTTTGTAGTTTCATTGAAGTAATCGTTACGTTTTTCGGAGGCGGTCTTGAACGCCTCTCGAGGCGAATGGAAGAAGGCACGGAGACAGACAAAGACGTACCTGTATTTGTTGAGACCGTTTTAAAAAATTAACACCACAGCTCTCCTTTTTTCGGAGCTGCAACACAAACTTATTTAATAAAGCAGCAACACAGTTCACTGAACCAACAGCAAGTTATAACATTGGAAGCATGTCTCCAGGAAGGAGCCATCTTGGAGTCGATGTATTACCGTAATGACCAACACAAGACGCACCGGATTTTTAGGCGCTCGGTGAGCTTTTAAGAAAATGGAAGACTTTTTGGTGCACCCTATAGTGCGGAAATTACGGTAATTTATTTAGACAAAAAAAAAAAAAATCCAGACCAACTGTGCCATAAGAAAAACTAATTGCCCCCTGACCTAATAATAGGTTGTGCCACCTTTGGCAGCAATAATTGAAATCAAGCATTAGTGGTAATTGGTGATGAGTCTTTCACATCGCAGTGGAGGAATTTTGGCCCCCTCTTCTTCGTAGAATTGCTTCAACTCCGCCATATTAGTGTTTTCTAGCATTAACTGCTCATTTAAGGTCACACCTCAGCATCTCAAGTGGATTCAAATCCAGACTTTGACTTGGCCACTCCAAAACCTTCATTTATACATCCATCCATCCATCCATCTATCTAAGCAAGCCATTCGGAGCTGGACTTGCAGGTGTGTTTTGGATCATTGTCTGACTGCACGATCCAGGAGCGCTTGAGTTTGAGGGCGCAAATTGACTGTTGGTCGGATGTTCTCCTTCAAGATTTTCTGTTTGACATCAGAATTCATTGTCCCATCAATCACATCAAGTTGTCCTAGTCCTGAGGAAGCAAAGCAGACACAAACCATCACACTGCCATCACCATGCTTCACTGTTGGCATAATGTTCTTTTTATCAAATGCTGTGCCATTTTTACCTCAGATGGAACATGGCACATCTTCCAAAAAGTCACATTTTTAACTCAGAATGTTTTTTCAAAAGCCTTGAGAATGATCAAGATGTCTTTTGGCAAATGTGAGATGGGCCTTTGTGTTCTTGTTGGACAGCAGTGGTTTTCACCTGGGACCTCTCCCATATTTGCCATTTTTGGCCAGTGTCTTATGGTAGAGTCATGAACACCGACCTGAACTGAGGCCAGCGAGGTCTGGAGTTCTACGGATGTTGTTCTAGGTCAGGGGTGCCCAACCGTTTTTGACCGAAGATCGACTTTTCAAGCAACCGACCTCCCGCGATCGACGTGCTACCGCATGTGCATGCGTACACACACGGGTGCCATGATGAGCAACAGCCATAACGGCCCAGATACAAGTAGATACAAGAGCTTGTGCGTTTGTAAAAAGGAATCAGTGCCTACCTTAGTCGAGGCCTGATGCGGCGGAATGGGACGCACTTTGGCAGCGTATTCAGTGCAACAACGTCACCATCATAGCTCACGTACTGTATATTGTTTTAAAAATGTTCTCCTGGCACTTCAGTTTCCCATTCTTTACCAGTGCCATTGGTGAATTGTATATACATCAAACTTTGAATCAGAATAATAAAAAAAAAAAGATATATGGCAACAACTTGAATCGCAAGCTGCAAGTGCGGACTGCTGACTTCTAACAACTTTCGGTGATGCAGGTCATGCACCGCCGTAGGTTAAGGTGACCTGCTTTGTTGTAGTATTATTTTATTTTTTTAAATACTTTTTTTTTTTTTTGTGAACGTGAAACTGAGAGGATGCTTAGGGTGCAGTGTGCACTAACACAAAAATATAGAATATGAATAACGCACACAGACACACATTTTTTTTTTAATCCCTCCACCCGCACAATCGACTTGGGAGTTCGTGGGCTGCAGGTCTGGTTGGGCACCCCTATTCAGGTTCTTTTGCAACTTCCTCGAGTCGTCGTCGTCGCACTCTTGGAATCATTATAGCTGGTCAACCACTCCTGGGAATGTGAACCACTGTTCCCAGTTTTATCTATTTGTGGATAATTGCTCTGACAGTGGTTTGCTGAAGGTCGAGAGTTTTGGAAATGGCTTTGTAATCTTTTCCAGACTGATAGATTTCAATAACTTTTTTTTCCAGTGTATTCTTGAATTTCTTTGGCTCGTGGTATGATGCGTTTGTTTCTTGATCGTGTAGCCGATGTCACTTTGTCTGACAAATGTTGTGTGATTTCTTGCTTCAACAATTGTGGTGCTAGGGTGTTTCATGTGAAATTGAACTCAGCTTTCCCAAAACTGTTGCTTGTCACAGTTACTTTGTGACTTAACAAGGGGACCTTTTTTTCACACAGGGATATGTAGTTTTCAATTTTTTATGTGTGTGTGTGTGTGTGTGTGTGTGTGTGTGTGCCTTTATAAATTAAATTTTCATTTAAGAAATTGCATTTTGTATATACTTGGGTAGTCTCTGTGGTTTGATGACCTGAAAGCTTTTGTGTGTGATAAATATGTGAATTCACAGAAATCAGGAAGGAGGCAAATAAACTATTTCACAGTACTGTACATATGCATGTTTGTGTGTATATATATATATATATATATATATATATATATATACACACACACACACACACACACACACACACACAGTACAGTCGAACCTTGTTATGTTACTCCAGGGACTTAACGAATAACGTTTTTTATAATGGTAGTTCATTGAAGCCATTTCCAATAAAATGGCCGCCAACTACAGGATGAACATTTATAGATGTAAAAACATGAACATGTAATACAGTATAATCATGTCAATTACAAATACATGTACAGTATACAGTATGAAGAAAAAAATTCAGTCAACAAATGACAAGTACTTTCTCCAGTTCAAGATGTGCCATGCCATTTTCGATCCTCTTTCAATCTGTTGGTCTCAAGCTCTGCCTTGATTATGTTTTGTCATTAAGAATGATGGTCAAAAATTGTTGACTTTACCGATTTGTCATCTCGGCGAAGCTTCATCAGGGAGATTCCCTTTCGAAAGTGACCGATAATTTCAGCCTTCACAGACAGCGAGATTTGCTTACGTTTACCAGACATGTTTTCAGACCATGTGCTTGACCGCGCCGTGCTTCTGGAAGTACAACAATGTACAAGTCGATCAGTAGTGTTGCTAAGCAACGGAGGGGAATCCTGTGCTGTACATTTTGTTCATAAGCAACATCGTGGCGGCAGTTAGCTTGCCACTGTTCATTGTAACAAAGGCATTTTCACTATTTTGTGGGAAAAATCTGGTCGCTATAATGAAGTGTACATTATAAAGGTATTCGTTGTCAGCAAAATGGGCAAATGGAAAATAAATTACGTGAAATCGGGACTCCCCCCACCCGCCCCTCCAATTAAATTAGAAGTCTTTAACGTCATGTATTTTTCCCCAAATACATATGTGGTACACAGTTGTTTTAATTGTTGTTGTTCTTGTCTTTTAATTACTCTTCCAGTCGGAAGAGACTGACAGACTGGGACACGGACATTACTCCTTTGGTTGGAGAAGAGCTATTAGTCGAGGTCCTGGATGACATTCCCCTTACCATGCACAACTATGTAAGTAGCAGGCAAAGCTGATTTCTTGATTTGTTTTATGACCTTTTTTGCACATAAATGTTCATCTGCTGCACAAGTAATCCAATTTTACTCTACACAGGTACGGAAAACTTTCTTCAAGCTGGCTTACTGTGATTTTTGCCACAAGTTCTTATTTAATGGCTTCAGGTGTCAGACATGTGGATACAAATTTCACCAGCACTGCAGTAGCAAGGTACCTACTGTTTGCGTGGACATGGACACAGTAACCAAACAGCGGTAAGTTGAATCACAGTTAAGTAAATGTGCTGGTCACACACACACACACACACACACACCCACACACACACACACACACACACTCACGAACGTCTCTTAATACGAAATTTTCAAGTTACGAAACGCCTCAACAGGAAAACATTGCCTCAAGTTACGAAAGGTAAAAATACAGTATGGGCTGCTACTCGCAACTCAGAGTTTCCGACACTCCACTGCATTCAAAAACAAAACACAGAAGCGTTTGCGTGTGTGTGCATGTGTGTGCGTGTGGAATATTTACAGTATCTGCCGTCGAGTGTTACGTTCAACTGATAAGCAGTCAATGAAATCCTGGTAAGATGTTTGTCAACAAACGCCTTTGTCTTTGTTACATTATTGCTTGCCTCACATTGTCATGTCGGCAGACAAAGATAGTTTGGCCGCTGATGCGCCAGGGAGGACACTAAAATACACTGGTTTGTTTAGTATTAGCTAGCAACTTGTACGTCAAGCGGATGGATTTAAAATTAGTTCAAAAGGATGAGCGCTTCAGAAAATGGATGGATGTTTGGAAGAGCCTGTGTTCTGCCGTTTGACAATGTATGGCTGGCAATCCTGGTGATAAATGTAAGTAATTATCTTTAAGGTCGAAGCTTCATGAATATGCCATAGATTTTCAAAATGTGGACAATGTATATGGAAGATAAAGCACTATAAAAATGCACTTCATATTACTATTGTGATAAAATTGGATGTTATGTTTTTTGGACAGCTCTTAAGCACCATATATGACAACAAGAATGATCTGGCGACTCACTCAATAGCAACTGGTGACTGCAACGGAAGGCCCACTGAACGTGTATTTCAAGTTCCATCTTGCATTAAAATTAACCAGGGGGATTGCGGGCGCTTTGTTTTGGCAAATACGTACAAGACTAGTCTCAAGGGCTATGGAAATCGAGATAAGAATATTAATATTGAAATGAGGACATATCAAGGGGTGTTCACACGGAAAGATTTGCTCCAGTGCTACACCGGGGCTGCGCCAGTAGAGCGTTCACACGTGCAAATTTGCTCTGGCGTAGCCCCGGAAAACAGGAGCAAATTTGATCCACCTCAGGGAGGTGGTTTAAAAATTTGATCCAGAACAAATGCTCGTTTGCGGGGCAGCACCGATGTAAAATGGTACGTGTGAATGCTACAATTTGCTCCGGAGCAAATGCTCGTTTGCGAGGGGGGAGTAGCCTCGCTACGCATGAGAAGAGTTGATTACGTACGGCGAGAATGCCTTGCTTTCGTGCTCTGTCGGACTTCCGTCATGTGTTTGTTTAATAACAAGACGCTTGTGGAGGCTCTCAGTCGTACAGGAAAGTTCCATCGTAGAAAGGGTTCCGTCAGTCGTCATCTGTACCTGTGGGTAAAAAACAAAAAAGGACGTTTCGCTTCTCTCACAGAAGCTTCGTCAGCGGTAGACAACTCTGAAGTCTCTGTGAAGACTCCGGGAAATTGCTCTGCGCTAAAAAGCTGAGCGTGTCCTATTTGAGGACTGGGTGGGGATGGTTAGTCACGCCCCTATGGTGAAGAGGCCCATTGATTTCTAAATTCCCTATCATTGGGTCTTGATTAGGCCTATTGTTTGGGCTAGGGCTGAATAGCTACTTTCAGTTAGCCTGATCAGCATGTCTATGTCCCTTAACAGGGTGGGTTTTTTTTCCTCTTTGAGATAACTTCGGATCATCATGACTCTCATTTTAAGAAAGGTCTGTGACAGAAAAAAAAATGAACAAGATATCAAAAACCTATTTTATCGCCTACATTTGATTTATAAGTTGGTCACCAAGAGGGAAGAACAAGATAAAAAGAGCAACAGAAATTTGATATCCATTCATCCATTTTCTATTCTTCTTTTTATGAGCATGGTGGCGGGTGAGTTGGAGCCTCTCAGAACTGACTTTGAACAAGAGGCGGGGTACACCCTGAACAGGCCAACAGCCAGTCATATGTTCAAATAGACAAACATCCATTCACACTCATATTTGTGTTTGGCGCATTACATTTTTGCTTTTCTGAGTGTCATTGAAGTCATCGTTGATTTACGTTTTCGGGGGCGGTCACTCTCGAGCAGAAGGCGCGGAGAACGAGAAGGAGAAGGACGTGCCTGGACAGTAGTTGCTTGAGTTGTGTATATGTTTTAGAAAGAACCAACACGACAGCTCATTTGTTTTCTGTCGTTTTGCTCCGCTGCAGAAACTGCCGTGTGAATGCAAGTGGAGCTGCCCCGACGCTGCGCCGGTGCTAATACGCTCAGGGGCTTTGTACGTGTGAACGCTCCACAAAATTTGCTCTGGTGTAAAATATATCGCAACAAAATACATCGGTGCAGTGCCGGAGCAAATGTGTGCCGTGTGAACACCCCTTCAGTCATTTGACCATGTCACGCTTGTGTTGCATGTAAATCTCAGTTCAACCATGTTTTAGAACAGGGTTCACCAACGTTTTTGAGAGTGAGAGCTACTTCATGTACACTGATTGTGTGAAGGGCTACCAAATGGATACACGTCTGAAATAACATCTGTACAAATTACATTTAATAATATTAGAATGTGTTATTTTTCATACTTAATGATTTTAATTTTCAGGCTCTGATCATCTTCACGATGTCTCACAATACTGCCAGTGCTTGCATTTTTAAATCATAATTTCTACGAGCAAATCACAATCCTAGCACTGGCGGGCTATTGGTGTGGTCCTCATGATCTACCTGGTGCCGGCGGGCACCACGTTGGTGACCCCTGTTTTAGAACATTACATCAGAGGTCCCCAACCCCCAGGCCGTGGACCAGTACCAGTCCGTGGGTCATTTGGTCCCGGGCCGCACAGAAAGAATACATAACTTACATCCGTTTTATTCATTTCTGAATCTGAACGTTGTTTTATTTTGAAAAATTACGGGATCCTCTGTTACATCCATCTACAATATGTCACTCTTGACGCAGGTGAAGGCACGCTTCTCAGTCACGTGATAGGTTACAGCTAAAATGAACCCCAGGAGATAGCAAAATGAGTAAAAAACAAAAGTCTTTGGAAAGTTTCTTTGAGAAGGGGGAAAGGCCCAGCCAGGAGACAGAGGAGGAGCCTACTACTTTCAAGAAAAAGAACACTACATTTAACTGACAGTGTCAGGAGTCCTACTTAAAATACGGATTGATCACAACGGGAGATTCCCACGCACCAAGCCCAATCTGCATGATTGGTGATGGTGACTGCCATCTTTTTGTGGATTGATAAAAAGTCATACAATGTAATATTGTCTGAGACCCTCAAAACGTTATTTTTTTTAATGCTTGGTTTTCAATGAACCCATAATATAGTACACTTTTTTTGTGGGCTGCACAGATTCCCCCACCCCCACTCCCTCTCATTGACTTTAACCCTTTCATGCACCCTGTAACCCGATAACATGATAAGCTGTCCACTGTCGTAACCGCTGTCCCTGAAAGGGTTAAGCTGTCACTAACGCACCTTCTTGGAATGTATTCAATCTGCGTGGAGCGAGCCTGAAATGAGGGTGTTTCCTGTTCACACTCTTCCTCCCCTCGGCCACATTCTCCCAAATACTTAAATCATGCGTGCTCCTGTAACCCGCCTGCTGCCCTCGTGCAGATAAGCGGTTCGGTTTCTGTGAAATAGTCCATTTAAAGAAATTGACATGCAGAGTTCAGTGTTAACATGTTAGAGCCCACCCCTGTTTAATGTTATTGTCTTTTGTCTCATTCTTCTCTACTTGTTTGGCCGGGTGTCATCCAAGTCCCTGCACAGATGAGTATCCTCAGATACTATTGCCAGAAAATTCCCCATCACAGAGTAACATAGCCTTTACACCAGAGCCTGCTGGGTAAGGTTGCAGACCAAACAATTTCTTAGCATGTTAAAGATTCACCTTGTTGAAGCATATTTTAATACGCCGTGTGACATTTTGCGTTCCCTCTCTCAGGCTGGACCTCCTGTCACCAACATCAGCCTTTCGCTTCCCCATCCCCAGTGGAGATGGCCAATCTCTACAAAGGCATCGCTCCACCTCGACACCCAATGTTCATATGGTCAGCACAGTGAGCCCGGCTGTTGTCAGCATTATAGAGGTAAGCGTAAGCCGCCCTTTGTATTGTTTTCGTTTGTTGTGTAGTTTTGAAATGTCGATGTACTCTGCCCACCCCCCAGCAAATTTTGTGTGTGTTGTGCGGGTGTGTGTATAGATGCACTTTTCCTGGTTCGTCCCCAACCTGTGCACCCGTCTGTCATCATCCCTCCGTCCTTATTCATATTATAATACCTACCTGTCCTTACATTTCACGACTCCGTCCGTCCCTGCCACCCCCCCCCAAAAAAAAAAAGAAAGTGTCCGTGCATGACACCGTGGGAGACAGGCTAACGGCAGAGGTTTCATAATTTATAAATTTTATTTTAAGCTGTTCGGCCCCCTGCTGCTTCTAAAGACCAGCCTGTCAAAGCTGGCACTGGCTAGGGCGGTCCTCTTTGGCTGGAGGTTGGAAAAAAACCCTCTCCACAGCAGCAGAGTTAGAGAGTGGGGTGTGTAATAAATAAGTCCACCCATGCCTCCCTGTGCTCCGCCGATGCATTCCCTATACAGTACATGTGGCTGCGTAACCAGTGGCACGTTTGAAGCGTTACAAGGCAATTTTTGTCCTTGGCCCATTTCGCCCAAGTAGGTTGAAATGAACTGATTTCCCGCCTCGCCTCGGCGTCAAATGCACATAGTACTTCACACGCATGCGCATGATTAAAGCAGCCGAATAAAGTACGGAAAAAAAAAACAGCACAAAGGGGACCGGGATGGGTTCGAGAGGCATACAACACAGCCAGCTTTCTTAACCGGCTCGATTGAATAATTTACATTTATTTAAGTGTCAACCAATATAGCTGCCGACATATTCAGTGGCTGACGAAAACCCACTTCCATCGATTAAAAATTGCATTTTTGCCATATGTCTGGTTAAGAAGTGTGCGGTGTTATGTGGCCCCCTGGCAGTGCTGATGGAAAAACCATGGCCCCCCTCCATCATTTTTATTTGCTCTAGTCACTTTGTTGCATTTTAAAATGTAAATCCCAGAGACGTGTTACTTACATCGGATATCAATCAGACATTTTCCATGTCAACTAAACAGTGGGACGAAGCAAAATCAAAGTGCAACCTAATACGAGTGGCTCCGTGCGTTGCAACAACTGAACAGTTTTGCCGCTTGGAGAAATGTCAAATTAAACTTTAGTAAACATGACCACAAATGGAAACGTCTTGCATGAACTCTTCCTATTTATACTCAAATTGTGTCAGTAAAATTCTTTGTAATCCATTTAATGAAGTCTGCGTGTTTTTTTTTGTTCCCCCTTCAACCTTTTTAGGAAGCAGTGAAATTTAACAACACAATAGGTATGCTTTCTTATTTTTTTTTTTAATTAGTCATTTTAGGTTTGCTGTTTATTTTTTCACGTATTAGACTCAAAAACTTGGTGCCCTGCCCTTTCTATCTGCAGGTCCTGAGCCATCACCAAAGCCATCCACTAGCCCACCCTCTTTAGGTTCTCCAGGGAGAAGACCGCCCAAGTCGCCTTCAGAGCACAAAGAACGAAAGCCCTCCTCCTCGGATGACAAAAAAAAAGTAGTACGTCATTTTCTGCAGTCGTCTTTGTCTGTGGATCTTTTTGGAGACACGAGTTAATTTATCAGTTTATTTGGCAAATTGGATGTGTTTTAGCATCGTGGGGGCTACAGAGACTCAAGTTACTACTGGGAGGTCCACTACCGGGAAGTCACGATTCAGAAGAGAATAGGAGCTGGCTCCTTTGGAACTGTATTCAAGGGCAAGTGGCATGGGGATGTAGCGATCAAGATCCTTAAAGTCACAGAGCCGACGCCCGAACAGTTGCAGGCCTTTAAAAATGAAATGCAGGTCTTAAGGTAAGTTAGTTTTTCATGTGTAGTTATAAATTTATGGTTCAGGCAAGATCTGAAGTACTGCTTTTTATTATTTTAACTATCGTGAAGTCCTGATTAAAATGTAACTTGTTAAAAATGTTATGCTCCTGAAAGAATTTCAAAAATCTGGACATTCAGAAATCTGGTTCAGGAAGTGAATTTCAAAAGGTTGGCAGCTCTGGGTCAGTGTGTTTTATTTGTAAAATTGATTTCGTCACATAAAAGCAAAAGCAGATGTGTTTACATAAAAATGTGGAATTTTATTGAAAAGAATAAATATACTCACTGACCATTTTAACAGAAAATATTATCCTTTCACATTTAGTTAACCTTTCAGAAAAATTTCCATTATGGGTTTTAGGCTTTTACACTCACCATTACTGTGAAGGGATTCAATTTCTACCATCATATAAATTTCAGAGAATATTGCTCAGGTCTTATTTGAAGCAGTTAAGTCTCTGACAAAAGTATGGATGTTTTTTAATGCGCATTTTACATATATTACATTGACACTGTATACGAAGAACATTTGTTTGTATTGGTAGAAATTTGAACTTCATTCCCTTGCAAATTGGAACATTCTTGGTTTAAATTTAGTCAAATTTCAATATATGTCAGAAACATTTCCTGTCAAACTTTTCCTGAAATTGTTCAGCCATAGTTAGAGCCAACTTAAAACCAAAATGGTGGCTGTACTCTTGAGATATTTTGCAAATTAAAGAGTCAAGAAAAAAATGGTTATTCGAAATTGTCTTTACCGAAAATGTAATTTTCCATCTCTTCAGGAAAACCCGACATGTCAACATCCTGTTGTTCATGGGTTACATGACTAAGCCCAATTTTGCCATAATCACACAGTGGTGTGAAGGCAGCAGCCTGTACCGCCATCTGCACGTCTCGGAAACCAAATTTGACACTATGAGGAGGATTGACGTGGCCAGACAGACAGCACAGGGCATGGAGTAAGAATTTTCCACATGTGGCTTTACCAATACTGTTTATATGGTGCTGATGTTTTCTGCAGCTGTGACATTTCAAATGCCAACTATCTGTGAAAAATGTTATTTAATCTTACATTCTCCACGCTCAAATGTAGAACAATGTCCCTTGTTAACTGAGGACCATCTCTCTTCCTCTCCCTCTCCCGCCCGAAATCAAGTTCAATTGCTACTTAAGGACATTAAAAAGAACTCAAACGCTGATATTGTATCATAAGGTTCTTGTAGGCAATGTTTAACAGCGGCTCCAGCATTAGTGGCGAACAGCTAGTCCCTAAACAAGTATCCCATATCGAGTGGCGAGAGTCGTCTGATTGCTGAGGCGAAAATGACTGCACGCTTAGATGCAGACAGCCTGACACAGTCGCCATTCCTACTAATCACTTACCGGTAATCGAAATCGCTACTGTAGTTGTGACATCACTTTGTCTCAAATGCTAAAATATGGGGAGAGATTTGTCTAATAATATTTCTAGAGAGGAAAATAGCGTGCTGTAAATGTAGGAAAAATCTGTTTCAAGTTGACCTTTGCAAATACTATGACATTCTGAAATTGCAGTTGGGTAGCAAATGTTTGTTCTGAATATTGTTTCCATGTAAAACCAATTTGAATTTTCCCTTTCAGTTATCTTCACGCAAAGAACATTATTCATCGCGACCTGAAATCAAACAGTATCCTTTTTTCTTGTCAAGTACGGTAGTAGTTTGTACTCAACCAATAGCCATACTGTAATGTTCAATGTGACAGACTTCATTACAACCCATTGCCAACTTCAATCGCACTTTTTGTATGCTGTTATGAACATCCCTGTGTAAAAAAAAAAAAAAAAGACTAATTGACTACATAACCTTGCTCTCCATCTCGCAACGTCAATAACATTCTGTTTGTAAGCGGCAGTATTTCCTGAGATTGTTCTCTAGATATTTTCCTCCATGAAGGTTGGACTGTTAAGATTGGGGACTTTGGCCTTGCAACAGTCAAGTCACGGTGGAGCGGCTCTCAGCAAGTCGAACAGCCTAGTGGATCAATTCTTTGGATGGTACTTTTGTTTTAAGGTCATTCCAGAAATATTGAATGAAAGAAATTGTCTATAGATGACATCACACTTTGCTTTCTCTTCCTTGTATTCCAAGGCTCCTGAGGTGATCCGAATGCAGGACAGCAACCCATATACATTCCAGTCTGATGTATATGGCTATGGTGTCGTGCTGTTTGAACTGATGTCGGGGACTCTACCATACTCCAATATCAATAACAGAGATCAGGTAGAAGAAATAACCCTTATTTGAACTGATCAAAATGTTTTGAGCCAAATTGTAATGAATGTTGGATTTGTTACATTTGCTGTGAAAAAGGCATGGCGAGGGCAGCTTTACTGGTTCTAGTATATTTCATACACAAGGCCACTCAGTGTCCTTCACACAAGCCGAGACGCGGCACCTAAAAGCAATGACCAACAAAACAGCTGACGTCATTCAAAAGCAAAGCACAGGGAACAAAAGTAGCTCACCAAAATGGCGAAAAGAGCATATATTAGCAACATTTAAACACATTAACAGAAGACTTTAAAAACATTTTAAAACACAACAAACAAAAACGAAAGTCTTGTTCGTTATCCTTCATTTAGCACACTAGAATTCTAGGAACATTATATTGATTCATTTGTTTATTTCTTCCTCTCCCTCCAGATAATCTTTATGGTGGGACGTGGTTACTTGTCCCCAGACCTCAGTAAACTCTATAGTACCTCACCCAAGTCAATGAAAAGGCTGATCATTGACTGCCTGAAGTTCAAACGGGATGAGAGGCTCTTGTTCCCGCAGGTAACAAGGCTGTGGTTTCCATTACAAAATGTTTTCTTCCGAAGTAATAATGCCTCAACCGGCCATCGCAAGTCAAATGTAAAGGTTTTTTTTTTTTGGGGGGGCGGGGGGTTAAAAGTATGTGGATTGTAAGTGTGTGTTCCACTGTTCGCCACGGTGTAGTGCTCATGTTCCGAGCCGGTCCTCTATAGCCCCGTTCACACGGCAACGTTTGGTCCGACGCAGCTCCGAAACAAATCCAGTCGAGCATTCACACGTGCACATTTGCTCCGGCGTAGCTCCACTAAAGAGCTTATACCGGACCAAATTTAATACACCTCAGGTAGGTGGTTTAAAAATTTGCTCCACAGCAAATGCTCGTTTGCGACGCTACGCCGAAACAAATGTGCACGTGTGAACGCAGCTGGATTAAATTTGCTCCAGAGCAAAGGCTCGCTTGCGGGTGAGTGGCCTCGCTACGCTCGCTACCAGATGCACGGAATCCGACCCCGGTCGACAGTGACGAGGGGGCCAGCGACACAGACGAAGCCCGGCC